CTATTTGTTCTGTGTTTATGCCGTCATTGTTCAGAAGACGCTCAGGGCACAGATCGAACTGATTTCTGGAATACAAACCTGCTTTTACGGCTATCGTTTTCTTTGTCAATTATGACACCAAGGATATTTCTGGGATCGCCTCTCCCAACAAGTGGAACTGGCACAAATGAGTGAATACGCGTAATCACTGAATATTTCAGTGAAAACGCGTAATCCCTGTCCAGTGCGGGGCCATTACGTGAATTCACTGAATGCTCAGTAGTAAAAACACGTAAAATGATTGGTCTAATTTTAGGGATTTCGCGTAATCACTAGAAATTTCAGTGATTATGTGAAACCCCTGAGTGAAACGGGGATTACGTGTATTCACTAAAATATTCAGTGATTACGCGCATTCACTAGGTACGTATTTTTACTGTAACATATAAATATATATATATACATATACAGACATACAAACATACCCACGCTAAACAACTATACATAATTTTTGGTCTCCTACTTCTTTGAGTTCCCCTGTTAAATCTTAGAAGTCGACTGCTGTTTCTTCAACCTGCAGTGCAACCGATTTTTACGAATGTGGCCATTTTTCTTACCATACCATTAGGCAACTACTTTCCAATTTCGAAGGAAGTCTATAGCAAGTATTATATAATCAATTAATTTATACTGACTAAAGTATGTTGAGTTTTGATAGGAATTGATTTTTAATTTTTGTCCGGATGACGTCCGAAGCCTACTCTCATCGATTTATATTTTAGGACCTCCAAGTAACCTTTAATATGCGCAAGGGGACTTTCGAGATGTTTCGCCTTATCCAAGAAGGCTAGATGTTCAATCTTACCTTCCTTAAATCAGGGGTGTGGCTGCACGGAGGAGGTAGAGGAAAGAGGAGCCCACAGGATGTCTTATGTTGGGGGGGGGTGAGGGGGAGAAATTGGAATTGAAAGAACAGATTAGAGAAAAGGAAAGGAGAAGAAAAGAGAACATTTTAGGAAGGAAAATTCATTGGGACTGTCAGGTTTGGAATCCCGGACTTGTTGTATGAGAGGCGAACACTGTACCTCTAGTCCACGAGAGTCCCCTATACATACATGTATTATACACAGTCACGAAAGTGGTTTTGGGCATGGGCAAATCGGCGGGCACGCAGTTTCCCTAGTGGAACATAAAAACACTAACATTATGCTAAAGTGTAGGTGTGTCCAATGTTCTTCCTTCATTCTTTTGTCCTTTTTCTATACTCTAAGCACTGAAAGGCTATACCGTGTAGATCTGCACTGTTTTTTACACTGTACATTAATGCCAAGAGTTGAAGAAACTTTGCATTCTCCCATACTTTGAAAAAAATGACATTAATGCAAAGGCCCACACTCCGTTTTGTAGGTTGCTCTTATCCTCGGGAATGATTATTGTTCAGGGGCGCGTCAATGAGCAAGGAAAGACGAATGACCATGTGACAACAGCCTCTGAAAAGATTAAAATAACTACATTGAAACAGTTAAGAGAAAGGAGCATCCGCTACAATATAGTACGTACCCATAGCTGTTATGTTTTCCAAAAACACTTGTTCCATATCCGAGCCACCGTTCATCTCAATACGACAGGTATATATTCCACTGTCCGTTAATTCTGCGGAATACAGAATAGTGGTTTGGTTGTTCGAACCGAAATAATTAAATTAGTCTTTAGCTAAGGCCTGTCGGCGTAAAGGCTTGTGTGTGTGTGTGTGTGTGTGTGTGTGTGTGTGTGTGTGTGTGTGCGTGTGTGTGTGTTTGTGTGTGCGAGTGTGTCAGCAAACATGGGATATTTTTTTATTTGTTTAGGGAAGGGAGGGGTAGACATTTATGGCAAACAACGCAGTGACCCCATGCAGCTTCGTAATGTAAGGGAGAGCATCATATTATTTCTACAGAAAATACTCCGAATTTATAGAGTAGTCACCCTTTAATACAGCTACTCTTCGTTCAGCTCTTGATTTTGAGACGTAAATTCGTGGAATATCAGACAGAATATCACAGCCTGTTCGAGAAGGTAACCGCAAGGGTTTACGAGTAAATATTAGGTAAAGGAAACTGTGAGGAAAACAGAATTTTATTATACTCTTAAATGAACATGCTATCCAACACAGGCGAATTCTATCATAATGTTGATAACATTCTCAAAATAAAAGTTGTATTGCTTTAAATAATATTTTGAGAGGGGAGAGGGAGCAAAAAAGGGAATAGATAGATGGAGAGAGAGAGAGAGAGAGAGAGAGAGAGAGAGAGAGAGAGA